GGACATCATATGTGCGTGCGACACCCGCCTGTGCACGGATGATGCGTGGTTCACCGTCAAGGAGATCGAGGCGAAACGCATGGGGTTTCTATGCTTTTTAGGGTTTTTCACCCGTGAGCCTTCGTTTGTCTCGGTCTTCCCCCTCCCCCCATCATTTATCGTAAGCGTGGCAGGTCTGCAAAAAAGACCTGGCACTTGGGACGTGCGCGACACCAAAATGAAAAAGGCCGGCAAAGGGCGTGGCAGGTAGGAAAAGGCGATTGGAAGGGAGGCGTGAAGAAAAGCATGAAGGGAGACAGCCTGGGATAAAGGGAGGGACGGCCAAGAAAGACACAATATGAATGCTACACCGGTGAAGGCACAAGAAAGCTGACGACGTGTTCGGGACTCGCGAGTTTCACGAGCGTGGCACGCTCTTACGAAACAAAGTGTTCCTTTGTTTGTTTGTTTGTCCGTAGTTGGGGCCAAGCTAGCACTTCCTTCGGTTCCCTTGCGGGGGCTTGCATGCGAGCTTGGGGGCTTTGCATGCATTTCGGGAAACGGCGAAAGCGTAGCGAGTCCCGCCAGCCCGACGGAGGAGGGAAATTCCATGAAAAAACCCTTAATTATAAATTCGCAGACAGCTTCCGATTAACGGCGCCGTCGGCCCTAACTCATTACGCCGGACAGACTTGAAACCAGTAAAGATGAGTCGAGTAGCGAGGATAGGCCAGCTGCTGCTGTTTTCTGTCGCCATCGTCCTCGCAGCTACTCTGTGCTCTGGCGCGGCGATTCGCTTGGGACACTCGAAGGTAAGAAGCGTTTCTGATGATAGGGATATCTCCACCATCAGCCCTCGTTCCAAGCACGGTGGCATCGGCTACCAGACGAATAAGACGGCAGAAGAATCCGTCGGTGCCCCGACGATAGATGGACGGCAGCCAGTGTGTGATCCTTGGCGTCACGATGCGATGTGCGATCTTGTTTTCATCCAGGTTTCTTCTCGGTCGGCCAGTGCCAGGCAGATGACGTTCTTCCCATGAATCAAACACTTTTGCCGGAGAGTTTCATCGAGGTCAAAGAATAGAGAAAGAACCCGGCCACGTGTTCACACGGCAGGCATATCGTTGCTTCCTTCCTGCAGTCGATACGCAGCGGCGTTTCGCCAGACTGTAAACAGTTCATCAAAGGTATCAACGGCAAGTTACCTCCTCCAGAAGATCTGCTCAGTTCGCTGGATGCGACGGTATGACAGTACATAAGCGCGCTGGCAGTGTATGAGCTTCGTGTCTTCTTCATTTGCGTTTTCACGCCTACTCCAAACATGAAGCTGTACCACGACATGCAAGACACACTGCAACCCTACTCTCATGCGCTCGAAGGGAAGAGACAAGAGGAAGTCGAGGTCATGAGTTGCTTTCAGTCGTGTCTCTCACTCAGGAGGATGTTTTCAAATTGCCCAGCAAGTCCGGACGTGAGCTGGCCGAATGACAGACGGCTGGCCATGCTGTACGGCTCCTGTCTGACTGGTCAGGTTCGTCGATTTGGCTTCACTCCCATTCGTGAAGACTATTTGTGAGATCGGTGCGTTAAACACGAATGCAAATCCGTTGCCTCAACAAAATGAATCAATGAAATCAATCGCGATATTATGTCACGAAGGTTTCAATACCGGGCATTCGAGCTACATGTGATAAGCTGCACATGTTGCCTATCCGTTGTTGGAAAAGGCATGCGTCTGCGAGTGTTTGTCTTTCTGCAGGCTGACGAGCAACCAAAAGGCTCGTGTGGTATCTTTTGACATAGGACGGCATCCATATACTCGCAAAGTGGCAGGTAATCACCTGGCGCGTTTTGCATCTTCATCTTTACATCTCTATGTACAGAACTCTTTGCAAAGCGTTACGGCCATCGATTCACGTTAGCTTTCGGGGACTCCAGGATTACGGTCCCGGAATTTCATCGGACGCACCCAGACGTCACATGCGACTTGATGCTTGTCGATGGAGGTACGGACGTCGTGATGTGCATATGACCGAAGCGTGTGATGCACCCCATCTTGTTCTCTCCGTGCAGGTCATACCCGTGATATTGCACTGAGCGATCTTTCGTAAGTCATCAATGTATACAGTAGTTTTTTCACAAGTTCTCCTCGCAGGAACTTTCGGCGAATGGCGTCCGAAAGGAACATTCTTGTTTTTGACGACTGCCCCTGGGTATGCAGATATGAACCATTGCACGTCAGTCAGACGTTTGATGTCGTTTTACTTTGATCCCATTGATCAGGATGCCTGAAATATGCGAAGGTAAACAATCAGTCGGAAATAGAAGGCGTGGGACTTGTCTGGGTCTCTTTGGTCGCAGCATGGAGAGAATTGCGGGTCCATGGTGCCATTGAGGAGTCTTACAGCTGTGAGTTTTCTTCACCAAAAAGAGGGGTCTCTCTGGGATATTACACCTTCCCGAAATAAGCCGTTGAGTTGTTTCGACCTGTGCCTCGGGATGTACCGAAGTAGACCGAAGCATTTCGAGGAGGTTACGTTATCGACGGAAGCCCAGTGGCTGTCCTGCGCTGTAGCCAGTCACAGAACGTATGTATTCGAGATAGAGACGTGAGAGAGCCAATCGATGGTCGCACTGAGAGATTGATGCTTTCAACCCACCAGTGTATGCAAATGAGCGAGCTCGTGTCTCGCGGGATCGCGGAGGCTCGGGCTGTGATGTATTATATACACACGTTTCGAAAGGCGCCTGCATGATTTAGCCAGCTTTGACTCATCCACCGGGTTTGGCTGGGGGGCGAGAACGGGGAAATGCCATTGAACGTCCCCGCTGCCACCCGAAAGATTCTGTAAGTGCTCACAACAAGCGGGGTGCGAAATCGTGTCTGACGGAATCCTGACACATGTCGGTGCTTTGTGCGGCGGACCCATCATGGCCTGTCCTCTCTAACCCGCAAGGGCTCCGGCTCCGAGTCGCCCGCCAGCGGCCGAGGAGACGAGGCACGGGTCGTCCTGCAGACAGAGAGGACAGACCGACAGAGGACAGACCGACAGACCGACACACACCCCGGCAACTCGTGTGCATGCCGGACGCCAAGGCCGCTTCTTGCCGCTTCTCGCCCCGAGTGTATCTCCCAGCCAAATGCCATCCGCCGCATCCTCGTAGCATGACGACTCAGTGACAAGTGATAACCTGACCAGCTGTGTGTATGCCATTGACGGGGCTCATCTGATGGGAGAGAGAAGGAGGACAAGCCACACCGTGGCTCTCCCTCCCACCTGTACATCGTGTGCGATTTCTGACTGGCCGAAGCCACCACAGGGCCCCACCACCGCTGATTCTATGCAGCACAAATCCACGGCTGCAGGAGGGGCCAGGAAGAGGAAGACAACGTCGAGTAAGCCCCGACAATCGAGCCCCCGTCACCCCAGGACTCATCTAGGGGAATGCTGAGCATCCCTTGCGCCCTTCTGCAGCGAAGGGCTGTGCTTCGACTTGCCGCCAGGCTGTTGTTGGTTGATGAATTCGAGTGAGTGCTTGTCAGGCTGGTCGTTGGAAGGATAAGGAAAGCGTAGCGTTATGCCAGGGCTTTGCAGAGCGTAGATAGATCATCAGCTCATTGTTCCCTTCTGCAGTCTTCACGCATGTATTGCCCCCATTTCCCCCATGTCAAGCTAGCCGTCTACTCGTGCGACACAAGCAAGGGCGAGGAGCGGCGGACCGGCTCCAACAGACCTTTAGCAATAGTGAGACATCTCTCGCACTTCTATCCTTCGACCCATATTTAGCGACCCGCTCCGCCCTGTACGCTGTATCGGCGTAAAGTCCCACGCCACTTCGAATCTGGTGATTTCTTGGCTGATTTTTGTCATTGAGGGATATCGCCGGAGGCACAGGCAAAACAGTTCCCTACATCAGCCAAAAAGCGCAAGACCACACACACACACACGTATACACACACGCCCGCGTCATGAGAATGCTCTTTCTTGTGTGCCTGCAGGTGGTTCGAGAGCAGCGAGAGGCACAGGCCAAGAACAGCGACGAGTTCTTCAAGTTCCTCAGAGGATCCCCGGACGGATTTGCACACGTGGCCGAGTACTTCGGCAGGGGCCTCTTCCCGCAGCAGCTGACGCGATCGGACATGACAGCCGCCGCAGAGCCCACCCAGCCGCCCTCTGCCCCCTCCCCGTTCCTCTCCTCCATGATGGGAGCCGACATGCCGCCGCCGTCACCGTCATGATCATCTTCTGTGGGGTTCAACCCATTCGGCAGCGTCTACTGCTACTGTACCACCACCGGCGAGGCAGCCACTGCCATTGTCGAGTCCTTCGCCACCACCAGCAATTACGCCCCGCCAGCCTGCACCCTCCGTGCCTCTCCCGCGATCGCCTGTGCCAGCGAGGAGGGCACCGGACATCACCACCCCCATCCCCAGCACCGTGCCCCTGAACCCATTTACTGCCGCTGCTGAGAGTCAGCCGCCGACCAACCCCTTCGCTTCGTCGAGTGGCGCACCGACCCCCAATGGCATGGCTACAGTGAGTCGGTCGCCGCAGTGGGAGACGTCAGATCGGAGCAAGTCGATGACCGAGAGGGGCAGGCGTGTGGTCGAGAGGGGGGATGCTGTTAGCAGCACACCGCCGGCAAGGAACATTACTAACCCTTTTCAGCCGGACTGAATGTGTGTATGTGGCAAAACGTGTGCTCTGTGGTGTGGATGGGACATGAGATGATGATACTGTAGGGCGTGTGTGGGTGTGGACGAATGTATGTGTGCCAATTGTCAATGTGGCTTCGGTGAGTACGCGAAGACAACCAATAACTCCGTTGACCGACAAACAGACGAATGCTTACCGAGTCCGCAGGCAATGATCACTTACCCGTGCCAATCAATGCACCGCCCCACCCACACTCACCAGAGCCACACCCGGGCTACCAGCCCTCTATCAGTCTGCCATAGCTCTACCGATTGTCGAAGGTCACAGACAAATATTGCCCCACTGGCGGGCGGCACGTGTCTCCATGCGCCGTCGCCTGTAGTGCGTCCTCCATGCTCGGCTGGTGGTCCCGTCTGATCAATATGGCCCTCGACCAGCATTCTACACGCCATAAGCCTCGATGCTGGCCAGAAGACAGGTCCTTGTTCTGGTCCATCGATGCGACGAAATTGGTATGTTCTGGGGGCGACCCTTGGTTTGATGCAAACGGGATGGCCGCGGTGAGGTTGTCCTGGACGAGCTGCTGCAGTGTGTCCGGCCTCTCGATAACGAAGCCGCTTTCGATCAGGAACAAGTGCGTGGCGCGTGACGCGTAGGACCTGCTCGTGGGCCCCTCGGTGGGAACAGTTGCCCTCAATAGAAGGCCGCGTCCAGTGGGACCGTGCACTTGGGATGGCGCCACAGGAAAAGAGCGGTTTTTCGATGGTCCAGTTGCAGCCTCATCAGTCTACGGGCAAACTCGTCATGCGCTAATTCCGATCGTTGCAGACAACAGCCAGGACCAGGGTGGGCTGCACATAGGGAGACTCGTCGTCTCTCAGATGCCACATATGCCACAACGACCCATTCTCCTCGGTCCAGGCACCGGCCTCATAGTTGCTCAGGTACCCCAGCAGCGCCTTGCCCCCGCCGTTGCCATGCACCAGCGCCGCGGCATCTGGACCACCCCGGGCATCTGGATACGATGTGAGGAAAGGCTTTCTGGAGCCAAAGACGAAAAGCCTTTGACGTCATTTTCTTTCCTCCAGGTTCTTGACCGTGATGACCTTGCCGGACAGCTACACAAAGGAGAACAGACTATTTTCAAGATAGTCTTATCAGATGATACGGGAAATGATATTCGATACACGCTGATCGTGCGACGCAAAAGTAACCTGACAAAAGCGATGGGCAAATGATGATGAATGATCATTCAATGATCGGGATGCAGTGGGCGATTCGCTAGAGCTTCGGTCAGTGACAATCGAGAGCGGGCGGCTCACACAGACAAATGAGGTGTGAAGGCAGGGAGGGAGGGGGGGGGG